ACCAGACCAGAAGCAGGAGCTCCGCACATGTTTGGCTCTAGCTTCTCAATCTCCCAGTTTTTGAAGCAAAGTCTTGTGAGTCTGCTTTGAGGATATGGTTTCCTAACGACCTCCATGTGATTTGCCATACAGTCTCACCTTTGCTTCCTTTTCTGTGGTGTTATTTCAGAGCAATGACTGATTGCTATCATATAATCTAGCAAGCATGGGACCAAAAAATTAGCCCTTTCTGTAGCATTTGTGATACTTCAGAGCCACCAGATTTCTTTCTCGCTTTAATCTGAGCTAACTGATCCCACTGTTCAGGAATAACATACCGAAGAATTTGCAACCAGTTGAATGGCATAGGTGTATAATAAAATACAAGTGATGTACGGCAATCCCCTACCCTGCAAAGACAGAGACATCGCTGTGAGACCTGCAGCCACATGATAAAAAGCAAGGACTAGCTATTACTAAGTCTCTCAGACACTGGAGGGGGTTGGGGGGGAGGAAAAGCTAATCGCTGAATTAATTCTGAGTTACAGTGGGGATGAGCGTAAAGGAAATAAATGTAGCTCAGCACAACATTTAGCACCTGGCATGGTAGGAAGTTTAAAGTCCAGCCAGACATCTCACACTGTACATTACCCCACACCACATCTCTTCAGCCAGCGCTGAGCAGCAATGAGAAACCAGCATCAATAGCTGAGGATGGAATGCCCAAGGCAGGAGAAATCCTCTTTGCTTGAGCAGTTGGTGGTGTAGGACTGCAGACTGGCTTCTGCTCCTATCAGTTGAAGAAACCACCAAGCAGGGACAAGCAGAGGGACCCCCGTGGGACATGCTGCAGCCACGCTGCTCCCTGTGGCGTGGAGTCAGAGCCTGCATGGGGTTGTGTCTATATATGAAAATTAACTCTTGTTTAAAGTGCCCAGTTTGGTCTGCTCTGGCTGCTTGTGCCAGCAGTCAGGCTGCAGCTGAAGAGGGAGGTGCTCCAGAGGGGAAGAAAAGGTGGGTTTAAAATATGGCCTGAACCAGAAGATTGCAGTTTTCAACAAGCAGCTGGTAGGAAGTCCAGGAGCTGTGGTTTGTACAGGCTCTCCAGAGTCAGCAAGCCTCAAGATTTGTCCCTCTACCTGTGTGCAGGGCAAGATGTGCTGCAGGTGAAATTTCCATGTTGAGTGGAGGGAATGGGGGCCACAACCTGCAGAGTGTTTGTGGTGAAGTGAGTGCTGAAGTAAAATTATCTTTTGCAGGAATTAAAGCATGGAAGGGTGCTGTGTTAGTGAGCTGGACAATCAAGGGACCCTTTTGGAGAGCGGAATGGGTTCATAACACCTGGCCCCTCTTCACATCAGGGAGGGATCCCTAAGGAGTGTCTGTAGCTCAAGCATTGCTCACTAAGAAATCTCACTACCAAGAGCATCATCCACAATCTTCCTGTACCAACTACTTCACCGCTGAGGGGAAGAAACTGCATTTACTACCTGTATTATAGCACAGAGCACTGCTTGATCACCACGGGGGAGGGTAAATGGGGTTTGTTTCATTAGTCTCTTTATTCAGCTGTATTTTCTCCACCTCTCACCGCAGCTGGCATCTCTTCTCTGCTATAATAGCTGACAAGACACCTACAAGCTCTGAGGGTGAGGTGGAGGATTTCCACTGTGAGGCAGGCAGGTGCTCCCGAGCACGTAGCTGAACAGCGTAAAAAACCCACCCACAAGCACTGCTCTAACAACCTGAGGTTCTGCAAAGGCTGGTGTGCCCCAGTAATACCCCCCTGCGCCGTAGCAGAGTGCACGCAGCCCAGCCTCTAGCCAGCATGATGGCATCCCGTCACTCCTGCCAGGGAAAGGGGCTGCTCCCAGGGTGAGTTACAGCTGCTAGCAGTTGCAAGGTGTCATAGCATGAGAGCAACTGCATTTTTTAGCCCCTAGCAGGGACAGACTGGGAATGTGGTTTAGTGTGTTATATAATTTGATATTGATGAAAAGAATTGTCCTACAAAGTGTTAACATGACTCAAGCCCAGGAAAGAAAAATTACACTTTCCTCATTTGCCCAAGGGTTTGTATCACATTGAAGGTGCTTCTCCCTTCTGAAATGCTGCAGGGGTGTTTTGAACTCTGTTTAAACTGCTGATTTTTCTTTGCTTTGTTAGTCGCAATCTGATCTGAAGAGCTCAGTCTCTGCCACTGCTTTTAAACAAAAGCAGCATTGGAGTGGGCAGAGAGAGGTGCAGAGGTGAAGGGGTGATACCTGTAATACCCTGCAAAGAGGCAGCAGCGTTGAGTGAGGAGGTGGTCGCCCATCCTCTCTCACCCTCTGACAGCCAAGATGTAGCCTGGGAGATGAGCCCCTCTCCTTCCCCCGAGACTGGTCCCCTTTGGGGGATTATCTGCCCAGGCTCCACCGCAGTCAGGTGTGGAGGCACTGCAGGGCTGCACCTCTCTGTACGTGGTTCCCTGTCCCCATCCCAAATACTTGCCTTCCACATGCATTAGAGCTGCACAAAGAGGAGCATATAAGAGTTTGGGGGCTGAGGACAGCCCTGTATGTGAGGGCACAGAGAATTACCCCAGGCACTGGCAGGCTTTGCGATGAGGCTGGGAAGGACGTCATGGTGCTTCATCAGCTCCTGCTGAGCCCAGAGCCAAAATGCAAAGCAGAAGATGATGCAAGGTAGATGACAGGTTGCTTTAGCACCTCTGTGAAAACCAAGCTCCACATCCACAGCAAGGGGCATCTGAGTTTAGCTTTTGCAGCATTATGCAGAATATTGGTAATGCTCAAAGCAAACTTCTGCAGGTGTTACATAGAAAATGCAAAGCTGCTGTAGGTCCCATGTGAGTAAGAAATTGCAGCAGACATGGAGGTGGCTCCTATCCTCCCTCCCACTATCTTGTTGGTTGAAGAAGGGCAGTTCCCACACCTCATCTGCCAGGCTGTCCTCCAGCCCCTGGGGCTACCTGTTTGTCTGGGCATCTCCACCAGCAAATGCAATGCTAGCCCAGATCTCAGCTATCTATGGGAAAGACTTTAAAATATGTTGACATAGCAGTCGGTATGTTTTATTCTGAGTATTTTATTCTGAGTAGGTCACCTCACAGATGCTTTAATAGACAGTCATACTGATTTAGCTGCAGTGTCATTTGTCCTTCACCCGTTGTTGGAGCTGAATTTAACCAAATCTTCAGTAACTGGTCGAATTCTCACACAATCAAACACTCCCTCCTTTACTAAGGACTCAGCATATGAGTTCTAGGTTGGGGTCCAGCAGGGCAAACTGGGACACCGCAGCCAGAATTGGGCCTGGGTTCTGCAAAGTGCCTCGAAGACAGAGGGTGCAGGGGTCATGCTACAATTCTTCATCTCTTCAGAAGGTAAGCCTGTAATAAGAAAAGTGAATAAGGCTGGGCTCCCCTGCGGCCCTTCCTGGTCTCGCAGGATCTCAGCATCTCCAGGGCACCTCTCACCACCCTGATTGATTAACCTCCCAACCATCCTCTGATGTTGGGACAAAATGCTGCAGTTTTCCAACAAAACTTGTAATTCCCAAAGAACTTCAGTGGATTTCAGATTCCAAACTCCCTTGGGTAATCCTCTGATAATCCTTACTTAAAGTCACAGTATTTCAACAATTCGAGGCAAGTACATAAAGACGAATGAATTCAGTCTTGGTTTGTGCGGTAATTAACTACTCAGTTCTCCAAAGCAGTTTTAACAACCTTTGAATGCAACATGATGTCAAAGTTCAAAAATAATGTATTTCATTTCCTTAGTATTTTTTATGCTCCTGAAACCCACACAGATTTGGCAAATTCACAGAAGTGCCATGCAAATATGGAACAATATTATAGTTTACATTAAAGTAAACCATAAGAATAAGAATTACAGCATCATACAGTCAGAGTCACAGGTGTATAGACAGAATAAGATTTATTTATTTATTTGTTGTCTGACCAACAACTTGGGTGAAACAGCAAGCAAATTATTCTGTCCATAAGCCCTAACAATTAAATCAGAAGAAGCAAACTTAAAGCTTTACAAGTCTGGATCATATTATTTCTAAGTTTTGCTGAACCAGTGTGACAATTTGACAGGGAAGCATAGAGCAGGAGACATAGCAAGAAGCCTGAGATGGAGAAAGGGTAGTTACTGTCTGCAGAGTATTGATGGTTCATCCCAGGTCAGGAGAAAACAAGAATATATCCTAAAACTAATATCTCTCCTGAGTTCCTGATTTTTAGTACTATGCAGAGTTATGAATTTTTATTCCCAGGTTTATCCTTTCAATGTCTTTCTCAGGTTTCCCTTGAGGATCAGGGCTGGAGTAGTATCAGCTGTTCTGTGGGGAATATGCCCTTGGAACCCTAAGTTTTCCCAATTTCTGTTTGAAAGCCATGTCTGGTGGGGAGAGCTGTCTGGTTTTGCCTGTGTACTTGCTACAGATCCCTTGTGCCCCTGCTGCAGGCACAGGACCTGGAAGCCAGCAGGTCCCCCAGCCCTGGGGGGATGCTGGCCCCAGGTTGTAAGCCTGGCTGGGATGCAGGGGTGCCCACCCAAGCCTGGCTGGTGGCAAACACCTGGCACAGGTGCTGCAGAGAGCTGCATGTCATGGAGCAGCAGGAGGGAGGCAGGGAGCCTTGCAGGTCTGAAATGCCCCGGGACTGGAAAGCAGGAGAAGAGGAGGAGGGAGAGATGCTCCTTGTTCCTCACTTTGGAGTAACTGGAAATAAACACACTGTGAGTGTCCCAGCTGCATGGGGACGGGCTCTCCTTCCCAGAGCTTTTCAGCTCCACCAGACAGCTAAGTAGAAAAGACATCTGTTAGTGAGGGGAGTTCGACCGGCTTGAAAATTTGTGGCTGTGATTTGGACCCTCGTCATGCCCACATACTGTGTCACTGCGAGAGGAATTCAGTTACCATGGGTTACCCTATCAGTACAGGGACCAAGTGCCTCCCCTCCCAACAGCTCTATAAAAAGAGTCTCTCCAAGATACTCCAGCGGCTCCTGCCTACCGGCGCAGACCGGGAGAAACTTGGCTGTGGGGAGAGAGGGAGGGCCGCCAGAGAAGGTGTCAGCATGCCGTCTGCTTTCCAGTTCCAATGCCACTTCATTCTCATCTTCCTGGCAGCCTCCAAGGGGGAAACCAGATACCTAGAGGTGAGCAATGGGGCTGATGACTAAAGCACCTTGCCGTGCTTTTAGCTGCTGTCTTCTAACTTGTACTCCCAGCTTTCGAGCATCGTGCTTTTTCCTCTCTTGCCTCCTATGCCCATTCCTCCTGCATTAAATCTACACCTGGGTAATATTAATGCAACAATCCTGTCCCTGCCCCACCTCTCCATTTGTTTATCCTCCCTTTTCTCAAACTTGCATTTTTGCTGAGGATTTAAGAGACTCACTCTGCACTGAGCTGCTGGGCTCACCTGTTAGGTGCCAGATTTGTTCCCCTCTACTGCAGGTTGGCAGCTTTCTGACTGAGCTCTTCCACAGCTGCACTGTTTCTGGAGGAGGGATTTAATCTGCGGGTGCCTGTTCTTGAAAGGTGCAGGGAAGGAGCTGCATTTCACTTTGCCCCAGCCTCTTCTTGCCCTCTTTCCTTGACCAGGTGAGGGATGCTGGTGAAGATGAGCCTTTCTTACTCCTCAGTGAAGATCTGAAGCGAGAGCTGTCTGCAGGGCAGATCTACCGGCGGTCACTCCGTGAGTTTCTTTGGTGCTCTGGTGGGGATCATTAGTGGGTGTGAGAGTCCTGGGGGTACCTCAGGGCTCAGGGAGGGGAAAGGGTCTATTTGGGGGTGACAGAGCTGCGGGCACTTTTTGCAAGGATGGAGAAGAAGGACAGTGTTAAAATCTCAGAAAAACTGTGGTTGAGGCAGAGGGATTGAGACAGGGCTCTGAAAAGAGACTGGAGCTCAGAGCTGGGGGTCCCCAATAATGGGAGGAGGACAGGAATCATCCACTCATGTGCCTGGGCAGGTTCACATCTCCAGGGATTGGGGCAGGTGGAAAAGCTGTGATTAGAGAGAAATCTGAAGGAACAGGGTGTTTGTGCACTTGTGCACATACAAACAGGCTTTGACACGCCATCCCCCTCTGTACCTCCCTGTTGCACTCTTGTGCTCACACCTGTGTGTTACTATTCATCCTCTGATGCTCAGCAGGCTCCTAATTGCTTCAGCTTGGTCTCCCTCTCCTCACTGCCAGCCAGGTCTCAGTGTGGGGGTCTCTCCTCGCCCCCCACTTCCCTGAGCCATGGGAGCTGGCACTGTGTCTCCCTCCCCAGCAGGCTGAGGCAGCAGCCCGTGTCTGTTTCTCCAGGGTGTATTGACATGCTGAGTATAGAGGGGCAGTTCACCTTCACTGCAGACCAGCCGCAGCTACACTGTGCGACCTTCTTCATCGGGGAGCCCGAGGAGCTCATCACGATAGACTATGACTTCGTAAACATTGACTGTCAAGGGGGCGATTTCCTGAAGGTAAGAAGCTGGCAAGTCCTGCTGCGCTTCCCATTCCCTGCTCTCATCTGACATGTGGGATATTTGCTATGTGTGGAAGGGGCAGGCGAGCATGTATGTGTGTGTGCAGAACACAAGGCAGTCGTTTTCTGGGACAGCTGTTCCTCGTCCCCGAGGCATGTCCTCCTCCATCACCACCCCCCTAAAACAAAGTCAGATGCAGGCTGAGAATATCTCTTGAAAGTGCCACGCTGGCTCTTCTGAACTTTTCCGGGAGTACCTCTACTGAGTGTCCACACCTGGGGGATTGACAGAAAAGTTTGGTCAGTACGAGTTGAGCCCTTCAGCCCCATTAGGAGGGTTTTCTCATTGCACTGTGAATCACGTGAGCCCTGCAGATAATGATACAGCTCTCTGAACAGCTCAGAGATCTCCGCTCACAGGTCACTTAGCATCAGCTTATTAATGAGTGGATCGTTGCAGGATTTCTTTTAAATGGCCCCGCTAGAGCTTTTCAGGACGCTGGCTCTGAACAGAAGGAGGTTCATGATGCAGAGCTGTTTATATTCCAATATAAAAAAAACTTTCCCAGCACATTTTGCTGGCAGACAGAAGCATTGACCAGGATCTGAACTCGGTACAGGAGAGAAGAGGAGGCTTGATGGCCCCTGGCTGCTCTCCCCACCTTGCGCTCTGCACTTTGTGCTACAGTGGTCATGCACAGCACAGACCCCATCCTGCCCAGTGGCGAGCTGAGCTGCGGGGAAGAGGAGGAGGAAAGCTGCCCTTCAGCCCTTTCCTGGTCTCCCTCTCTTGGAGAGATGCTGCCCCCCTGCTTCCTTTACCCTGGGGAATCCTTTCTCTCCACCCCATACCCTTGGCTGGGATTTCTCTCCATGTTGCTACAGAGAGACTGATTTCAGCTTCTTGTGGGTCCAAGGATTTTGTACCTAGGCTTATAGCCAGTTGTGGAGGCTAGAAAAATGCCTAGAGATCTTTGAGGCTTTACAGAAGTTTCCTTCCTTTGGTCATGAGGTCCCCAGTTTCTGCATTATACTATTGTATTTAAACAGACAGCTTTTTCCTGCTGTAACTTTAGCACCCACATCTCATTACTTCAGAAAATTTACAGTTCTGGTGAATCCAGAGACTGATCCTGCAGCTTTTCCCTGAGGAAGTCCCACACATACTCACATTAGGATTACTCACTGAAGCAACTTCAGGGTCCAGTCCTTGGATTTTCAGAGTATTGACTGGAGAGTAGAAGTGTGAGAGCAGCTAGGAGGGAATTGAAATAGCAAGGCAGGTAACTGCTTGAGTTAATACAGATTTCTAGTTCTGGCACTTTTCCGACACATTTTCCTGAAGATGCTGAGGGTAAATTGTTGCTATTTTTGTTGTAAAGGAAAGATTTGTAGAGGCTGCTGCTTAAGGTCCAGCCAAGTAGCCAGCATTTGTTCTGCTTTCTAGTGCTTAGGATGAACTGAAAGAAAAGATGCAAGAGAGAGCAGTACCTCTGCCAATAATTCCTCCCTGAAGCTTTATTGTATTCCAATATCTCTGGAAGGCCTCTGGGCCCATTAATGACAAGCTGCAAAACATGGATGGTAGAAAATTACATGCCAGATCAATGGACTTAATGCCCAGAGTTTGAGGGTGATTTATGTTTCATGTGGCTTCCAACTCAAGCTGGTCAAAAACTTCTCTTAGTAACAACGAAATTGCAATAGAAATAAATTTTTTTTAAAAAATATGCAAATGTGATGATGCTGGAGCAAGAAGAGCTGCTTGCCTCAAAAAAGGTCACAAGGATTGTCACCCGAAGAAAATAAAGACATTAAAATTTATATGTATTGCTTTCCTAAATATGGATTGAAGCTTGAATAATTAGTTAAATGCTAGGAAATCAATACATACAAATAATTTTTGGTTTTAATTGGTGGCTTTGAACAAGCCATCTGGTGTCAAAATAAAACAGTGTCTGTAATACTTCATGTTTCTTTTCCCTGCTAAGAGAATGATAACCAAATGCCTTGTTTTCAATTATCAAACCCCTGCAGGTATTTGATGGATGGATACTCAAAGGAGAGAAATTTCCCAGTTCCTTGGACCATCCCCTTCCCACTTCCCAAAGATACATAGACTTTTGCGAGAGTGGCAATATTCAGAGGAGCATCAGGTCATCGCAGAACGTGGCAATGATCTTCTTCAGGATTCACCAGCCAGGCAATGGATTTACCATCACAGTCAAGAAAAATGCCAACCTCTTTCGTAAGTCTGTGTTTTATACCATCAAATGGGCTTGTGTTTGGGGCAGGGAGCAAAATGAACATGTTGGTTTGCATTGAATTCTCTCGCTGGCATTGTCTGCACTGACATGGCTCCAGTAATGCCAGTGGAGCCATGCACACCTGCATGCCTGAGGATTTAATGCAGGCTCAGTGTGTGTCTTAAAAAAAAAAAAAGTGAAGTGTAATAGATAACTTAGGCATAGCTTCAATATTTAGGACCAGAAGGCGCTCCATTTTGAAGAAGATCTCTTCCAATCTAATGTCACGTTCCAACTCATTTGGCTAGAATAAAGAGTATTAATGTAGACAGTTTAATCTCAGCAATTTCTAGATCTGGGTGAACAATGAGGAAAAAATATTTGAAAAGGTTCCACAGCAAAACTAGTGTATTGAATAGTTATGTGAATAGTTATGTGATAGTTAGGAGTGATATATGATCCCAAGGATCTATTTGCAAGTTATTTCCCTAAGCCCATGAGCTGGCAAGGTGCAAATAATGGTCACTTGCATCTTTTTTCCAAGAGGGGACTTTTAACAATTACTGTTCAGGCCAATCTGGTTTATCTGCCTCACCATGCAAAGGATGAAGACGATGGCATGTCTGCCCAATCCTAACTCAGAGTTGTTCAGACACAAGCCTGCAATCCGGGTCTCCACGCTGGTGTGGCTTCATGCTCATGAATGTGATTATTGTGTGCAACTGCTGGAGGTGGCTTGTGTCCTTCATCAGCCTGCTGAACCAGCTGCAGACCTCTAGGTCTGTGTGTGGGATCCCTCGCACAAGCAGATGATAAGCTACTCCCTTACCTCAACTGTTAAGTTTGAACTTTAAGATAAAATCAGCATGTACCTGCTCTCGTTTCAATGGGATGTCTTGCAGGATAAGGAACTCCAGTGAAGAGGAGCAGAATAGGACTTAGTGTTTTGCTGGCAATATCAGGCAAAAAACACTCAAAGCTAAACAAAAGCCCTGCATCCATATTTAGCCTCCTTTAAACTGGGAAACAGTACGAGCCTCCAACGACATCAGTCCCTGATGTATGGATTTGAAGTGAGAGTTCTTCCATTGACAGCTTCACTGTCAAGTTTTGCCAGACATCATGCTACATGGTAACCAATGGGCAGGGAATTTTTAGGGAACAAAGGCTGTGCAAGAACCCCAGAAAATGCCATATGTGTTTTTTTCAGCATTTGGTTGTAACTCTCAGTAATTAAATCATCTGTTCTTTGTTAGTACTGAAAGTACATCGTTTTGCTAGATGCAGCGATGACTGCACAAGTAACTCTTGTACCTTCTCCCGTGCCCCAGCTTGCAATGTCATCTCTCAGACTCCCTCGGGAAGGTTTACCATGGTCATTCCTCATCAGCACAGAAACTGTAGCTTCTCCATAATCTACCCGGTGGTGATAAAAATATCTGATCTTATCCTGGGACATTTAAATGGCCTCTTTTTAAAGGTGAGTTGTTTCCTAAGAGATTACTACCACATGCAGTTTTCCTGAGCATGGGGGAGGGAAGGGGGTGCAATGGGGATAGCCCGTGGCACTGGCTGCCAAGGCTGGTGTGCTCCAGACCACGTGTGAGCACACTGAGGGCTCTGGTTCCCCCCCCGCAGAAACAAGAGCTGGGTCTGTTTCTGTTGCTATTGTCTCTGTAATTTTGCAGAGGCAATCACATTATGCAAAGTGCCGTTAATGCATGTAAATATTGCTTGCCATAACAAAGGGTAAGAATTTAATTAGAAAGAAGGGAGTGCTCTCCCAGAGACCTGCCTGTCTGTATTTAAACTAATGAAAGCGGCAACCACTCTGAACAGAGAAAGGAGACACGGGTTAGATAGTGAGGTATTAGCATGGAGAAAATACAAATGTGCTCACAACTGATTCCCTGCTCAACATGCTGAGCATCCTATGCTCTATATGCTCTGATGCACAGCAGAGGGACAGGGTTTGGTGGCAGCTTTTGGTGCTTGGTGACAAGCAGACAGGAGAGGACAAGAGCTGTTCATGGCACCCTGTGCCTGGAAGGTCTAAGAAGGTGCAAATTCCAAAATATCCAGAAGGATAGGAGCAAGAAAGTTTGTTTTCTGCTGCCAGTGTGACTGGCAGCCTTGGCCCTTCATGGTCACTGCCAGTGTCTGAGCAAACCAGGCTTTGAGAGATGGGCAAGAGTTGGCTTATTCAGCAATGGGCAGAAAAGGGACAACAGCAGGACGATGATAAAGAAATCAGACACTTACACAGCAGCATATGTGTGACAGCACAAAGGTGCACCAGGTGTCCATGCAAGATATCTTTGGCATTATTTTTCAGGAAAAGAACACTTGTGGGTGTAATATACAGTGGGCCATTGTCATCATACAAAACTACTCTTTTGGTCAATTCCTACTTTAATTAAACTTTGCCAGAATAGCACATTTTAGCAACACTTATTGCTTAGGAATAAGTATGGTATAGTGGAACTTAAGTTCCTGCTTGCCAGCTGAGTGTGGGCATGTGTGCAGCCCAAGCCTGTAATAACTTGGTTACATGTCTAAGCATCCAGAATCAGATTGCTTATCCACACTAAAAGCCGTTGAATCAATACCTTAACTACTTGTCAGTAATTTTCAGAGCCTACTTAGGTCTTTCTTTGGAATCCCTTAAGGAAATTAACTGACTGATGTCGAATAGAAGTAGTGTTGTTCAGGATGAGAACAGCCTGATTTTGCACAGGTTTGAGCACAGAGGACTTCTAAAACATACTGTTGATTCCAATCATGTTTGAAGAACTGCTGCCTTAAGAAGATAAATGATAAATAACTTCTAATCTCTGCCTTTTTAGAAACCATCAGCAGGCTGTGCAGGAGTGGGAGATTTTGTAGAGCTGCTAGGAGGAACTGGCTTAGACCCATCGAAGATGTTTCCACTAGCTGATCTCTGTCACTCCTTTCATGGGTCTGGTAAGAACTCCTTCCATTTACCTCCACATGATGAAATAATTAACCAGATGGAGTGATGCAGAGCTCCCCTAAACCCAGAATTTCTGCTAGACTGGTGAACTTCGCATGTAGCAGAACATGAGAGCTAAAGCTATTCGAGCATGTAGCTGGGCAGCACATCCATGACCATCTTCACCTGCCCCTGCAGTAATCATTATAACAAGGTTAAGTTACACATACTTTTAAAATGCTTGTCCTGTGACATATATGATTATTAGAGTGTCAACAGATAAATGAACCTGGAAATTCATAACAAATGAAGGCAGAGCAGTTACATTTTCCATTAAGGACCTTTTGCTTATTTACTGAGTGTTTCCAAAGCCTACATTTCTGCTGCAGGAGTAACGCATACCCCAAAAGCCTCAGAGCTCCCACTCTCTGCTTTGAACCCAGGAGGAGCTCTGAACATATTTCACTATCATGCCAAGTTAGTGACCTCTTTCTCCCCATAAAAATAGGAATTCACATTTTCCCTGATATTCAGCATAGCAGAGTACAAAGTGTTGTGGTGATGTGACAGACTAGCCCTTGGCACATGCGTTGTTGTACCTGGGGAGTATGAACAGGCACACCGGAGAAGAGACATTTCTGCAGGGCTGGAGTACAGGAATGTGCCTGGCACTTCGCCTCTGTGGTCTCTCATGCTTTTCATCACACCACAACTTAGTGGTCTAGGCACTGTTCAAATCTTTAGCTGGCCAGCACTGGTGCTGAGGGAATAGTGAGCACTGTGATGAGATTAAAATGTGCTTTCCTGGCAGTATGAAGGAAAGGAAATCCCATCTTAGCAGCCCATGCTCTCCCAGTGACCCACCAGATTTTTCCTCCAGTGAGGAAGGTGCTCCAAGTCCTCCAAATGAAACAGACTTTGCCAAACCCCCACTCAGATGGCTCATCTAAAGCAGTGGTTAGTGATACGCTTGATTTCCCCCACATTGAGTCCATATGCTGGGTACTGCCAATTGAGTTTGTCTTGGTGGGATTCTCACGTGCCTTTGTTACTATGAAGAACCTCCTTACACACAAAACCACTCATCTCTCTAACAGGAAACATTTCAATATTTTTAATTTTGGATATCTCCAGGATAGGGTGCGGTTACCCTTACCCATCGCTGCTGGTACCTAACAGTAGCATACCTTCCCAAGTGCAAGGGTGTACAGACCTCTGCGTCATGTCTGTCTATGCATACGTGAGACAGCAGGTGGATGGGAAGTGAGTGGCATTTGCAGCTACAAAATTTGATCAAATACACAAGCCATTGTAAAGTAAAACTAACAAATACAAAATAAAGTATTTAGTCAGCAATACTACCGCTGGCCGGTCACTACTACAGAAAAATTTGCTTTGTTTCCAAAATTGTATGTATCGGTGCTTTGTAATTCCCAACACTACACCTCTTTTCTTTTTCTCTCATATAAGTGTATAGTCATTTCTCCTCTATATCTGTTTTCCCTAACTAGCCCAAATGAAGATTGGCTGTGAGAATACCGTGCTGCGAATGGTCTCCAGCGGCAAACACATCAACCGTGTGACGTTTGAGTATCATCAGCTTGATCTGCAGGAAACAGAAAACAGAAAGGAGAATAGCATTGAGGAATTCTGCTTTCCTAGTATCTGAGACACTAGGCCACAAATTTTCACACAGCTAATGAAAGTAAGGTTCTGGTGAATTAAAAAAATGTATTATTCCTTTAACCAGCTGGTCTTATTGAGCCTTTCTACAGTACAAGTATATTTCTTTTTTCATATGAATCAGTCATTCCCATGAGCAAGCAGGAAAAAACAACCAATATATTAATCTTTGTTATTATATTTTTTCTGCAGTATTTAAGCTCATTTACCACATCCAAAATCAATAGCAAGAAGAGAAGGCTATGATTCCCATATAAATATTATTAGGAAAACAGACACAAACCCTCTGTGTATCTAGTCTGAGGACACATGAAACCCACAATATCTATAAACTTCATGCAGCAACTTTATCATTTTATATCAGGTATAAACAAAAAAATTAGATGGTGGAATACACTTCCAGTTTTGTAAGAGGAAACCTAACATTAGTGTGTGTAAAAACTACTGTTTTGTTTATGACTATAAATGTACTATTTATTTCTAATGACATGTTTTTAATAAAAATTTATAGCATGGAAACTTCCTTACACAAATCCAAACATAAATAAATACATTCAAAGAGTTGGCAAAACGTTATTATGTTGTATTTTTTTGAAGAGCTCTTTCAACATTCTGGTTAAACTTCCTAGGTCTTGTGCAGTTCTCTGAAAATGATAATTTTGAACATATGTTCCTGTAAAACTGTGGACTGTTAAAGTAACATTATGGGAATTTTGTTTTGCCGATGCTGCATACACCTTCACGAGGAGTACATTCCAGCTGTACACTTACTGGCACCTTGCCTGTTTAAGGGTTTTTGGTCAGGTGTCCTGCTGACCGGTGCAGACAGGTATATATGAATACAGGTTAATTTTTTCCAAACTGTTGGTGACGCAGAAGAGGAGTGTAAGCCTGGAGAGCTCTAGGAAGCCCAGTGCAGCAGAGGACCAGAATTATGTCCTAGCTCAGAGGGAGGCACATGGACTGATTCGTATGTTGTCTGGAAGTGCTACCTGGCAATAACGAGAGCAAACTGTTCTTCCTCCAATCTTCAATTCGCAGTCAACACTGATTAATCCAGCTGCATGCTTGAGATCTTCAGTGCTCATTTCTGGCTGTTATAGTCAGTCACCAAAAATCAAGTGTTTTGAGTATTCAGCAGCTCTGAAGTTAACTTTCCCCAACAAGAGTGGGTGAAAACTACAGATGCCTCAGACTCCCTCTGTAGGGGTTTGGGACCCCAGTTTTGGTGACTGATTCATGAATAGAGGCATGTGTTTGGCAGCCTGGTCAGACTTGGGCAAGTGTGTCCACCCTGCAGGGCTGTGTTTATGGAGAAGGTGGGGATTGTGGGAATCTTTTGCTTTGTTAAAAAAAAAAAAAAATTAGACAAAACTGCTGCTGGCTACCTGGAGGCATGGAGCAGCCCTCGCTTAGGGCTCTGACTGGGGGGGGTCCTTGGCCACTGCATCCCTGCTCCGGCCCCGTGCGATCCACCATGGGCTCCCTGGGCCCCTCAGCGCGGTGCTGGCAGTGCTAGCATGGCCACCCAGCACCGGGGATATCGAATCAAGGAAAAAAGATCAGGACTCAACAAAATAGCTTTTTTCCTGAGGAAATTTGCAGTGACAGAGGATCTCTGTCCCCCAACATCCCACTCAGCTCATCCTTTCTGGGTGCCTGTCACTGTAAGGATGGCCCTAACTGCATCCAGCCCCAGCAGCCTTTCCTGGGCACCCTTTGGTGAACCAGGGCAGGTTTCTGGGCTGAGCAGTTTGGGAACAAGCTCAAGGGCTCCCATATCAGACCATACCTATCCACATACCTACCCTCAAACTGGAGAGAGGTAGAGGTCTTTAAAAAGCTGCTCTTTGGTCACTAAGAAACACAGGAGGAGTTGAAACATTAACAACAGATTTCAGGCCCAACATCTCAGGACTAGACCACCAATGAAGATAAACTCACAATCCCTTGCTTAGTGCAGTTTCATAGTGCAATTTCCCACCTTTCAGCTTTATGTGGTACTTTTTTCCAATCCCAACGTGACTTAAATACCTCCAAAGCATCAAGACCTTATAGAAAAGATACTTAAAGTTCAGAGATTTGACATTTCTCCTTCCATAGCATACAGAAGGGGATTCTATTACTAAGTAAACTTACTGTTACAGGCAAAGGAGAATGAAAAACAACACTGTGTGTAGGACAGCATTGTCTATTGCTATTGCTCCATGTGTAATACTCAAGTACATGGTGGTTTTCTCAGAACTGGTTGTCACTTCACCTACTCCTTTTAATCAACATAAATTTAGGCAGCACCATCAATGACATCACCCCACTCTGCTGTCTTGGAAAAACTCGGACTGCAGCCATCTAGTTATCCTTTGGTCTGTGCTTTCAGCTCTACCTCATACAAAAAATCAACAGTTACTTCAATCTGTGTACCTGCATTTATGGAGGCCCTCATCATTTCAGGAGTTGCAGAACTTCAGTCACAAGAAGTCAGCTCATAGATGGTAAATGTCACAACTCCTCCAGGGTTAAGTTCTGGAGAAGTAAAGAAATAAGTATCCTTGTGAATGAAAAGAAAGGAAACCAATGTAATAAAAGCACTGCAAGGAGGGGAAAAAAACAAAAACAAAAGCCCACCAAAAAAACCCAAGTGAAACGTTGTAAGAGGAATAAAAAGCAACTAGGATGAGAAATATGTGAATAACATGCATATTTGTGAAAAGAAGCATGAAAAGAACTTATCAATTAACAAGATCATACTCTGGAGACTTACAAAAGCTGGAAAGCCTTCTAAGAATAAAAAAAAAATCAAGGTCCTAACAATAAAAACGGAACAAAAGTCTTTGAAGAGGCACTGTATGGAAATGTTGGCTTTGAGAAGAAATTGTATGACAGCTGCCATTGTAGGCAAAATCACCAATACTCACAATTAACGTTAAAACCCACAAAATTGTCAAAAGAAGATGTGAGTGACAGACTTAGTGCAGACTCTGATGTCCAAGAACCACTTTTTTTTTCATCTTTTTGATTTGACATCACCACTGACCTTCCCCTACAGAAGTGATGTAAAAGGTAGTATGACACCACAACAGCATTACACAGCACAGGAGTACCATGCTAGATTTTGAAAGAAAACCACTGAACATGAACTGATGGATCAGCCAGCATTCAAGCAATGACTGAAAAACTCTTCAGCACCACAAAAACTACAAAGGAACCTATAGTTAAAAATTGTTTGCAGGGACAGCGAAAAATCAGCAATTCTTACTGGAATCTCAACCTTGGAAGACGGATACAGGACATGAATCAACTCCTGCATTTCTGTACTAACATGACATCCAGGGTGGCTGTTCAGAAAAAACTCATGTAGTGAATTGCCCAGAGGGAGGCTGAATTTCCCACCTTAATTAAGATGTAACGATTAAAAGTCTTCTACTTAAAGACCATGCAATAAATCTTCAGCTTAAATGTTATTTCCATCTTTGCCAGGTATAAATGAAATAAATTCATAACAATTGCAAAGATTTATCGGAGAGTGGTAAGTCTTTACCGTTAAAATTACCCAGAAGAGAACTACTCTGGAGGTAGTGTGAAAAAAGCTAGAGCACCTGTCCCTGTAGAAGTATCCTTCGGCATCTGAAAGTATTAGTCAGCTGAAATACCGTTTATCAAGACTTTTCTGACAATAGAAAGGGGAACATTTTAATGGGACCTACCAATATAAAGCATGTGCCAAGAGTCATTAGAATAGATCTTGATACAGGCATAGATACAGACTTGTTCAAGCTCTTTGGGATTTTTAAGAGAAAAGAAAAAAAAAGCTGTTCAGGAATTAAGGATTATTTTAAATAAGTAAAGGTGCAGTAGAAATGTTTTATTAAAGCCAGAATTACTGCCTTTGGAGGTAAAACCTCAGTGGAACAATTTTAACTTAGTCTGACAATAGTGAGGTTTTACAATGATTTCTTGCTTTGTGAGGTGACCATTTGTTTCCAAAATTAGATTCTTTGTTCTTAAAGCAGTGACAAAAAATCACAGACTGCTTGGCAGTAATGTGCATCTACCTGTAATAATATGCAATAATTTTTTTAAGTTAGAGTTGTTCTGCTAAACTAATGTTTATTTTTACCTTTCACGAATTACAATGAAAATAAGTGCTCAGACCAAGACAACTGAATGGTAGTCCAAATTACTCTTAAAGCACCTTCTGAATATCTGCTCTGCTAACATTTATTCTCCCAAATCATGCTCTGCTTTCTCTGTGATGGAGTTTTGATCAATAGTTAGGAAGGTATCACCCAGAAGCTGAATAGTAAGGAAAGCAGATTTGCATTAGGTGCTTGATCATATAACCTGCTTCTCACTGAATATCTACTCCTACAAATCTAAAATACATCTTCAGGGCCATCACACTGCACTGGCTTCACGTGCCAAGTGGATTTTATGCTACCTACAGGGACACCACGTTATTTTTTGCACATAGGGTACAAAAGGCTCTGAACTCTGTTATCCCACGCTGGAATATATGCAGCACCAATTATGTAACAGGGACCAAATAAATTTTTAAGAGCTTAAAGAAATTTCACTTGCCTTCATGAAATGCACACTTCTTAGGACCTCGTTGCTGTATTTACTCAGTTCTAAACACAAGCTAAATTATACTTCAAGGAAGTGATTCATTATAGTCATTTTTATTCAGAGCCTCATTACTTCTGGTATCTGAGTAACTTTCTTGTTGATAAATTGACACAGTTTTCACTTTTTTTCCCCACTTTGCTTCTTATCTTTAAAGATCAGCAACAACTAATCATAGCAACTATGGATTTTGTACGCACATCATTTCCTATTAAAGGAAATGCAGTGTATTACACGTGAGTCACTACAAAATGAAAAGTTTTCATTATCTGTTCTTTTGAATAAAATTGATATTCATGGTACCGTGCTGCTGCAAATTACCATCAAACCATCAATTACAGTGTTGACTAATAGTTTTTTTTATAACTTTGCCCCTCAACAGGAAAGCAAGCAGTTTTATAACTAAAATTTGCCTTTCGTCTGTACAC